TCTATTTAGGAAGATGAGCTATACCTCCTTTGTGCAATCTTCTTCTCCAACTTAGCAAAGCTTGAAGCTCAGTTCTTCATGGCAATGGCAGCTCCTTCTCCAGCTCGTTCATCCCATGGCCCTAGCTTGCAAGCTCCAACACAAACCGAAACCAATTTGGATTCAAAGGAGAAAGACCAATTTCTTCAAGAAACCATACTCTTGAAGAAATCAATCTTGAATCTGACCTAGATATAAATGAAAGATGATTTAAGTAGCTAGATGCAGATTTCGGGTTTCAAAAGCAGTTTTTCAAAAAGATATTAATTGGAAAAACTCATAGATGAAATATTTGGTTTTCTCTTGAGGAAGAAGAAGAGAAAGATCGCAAGCCAATCTTTCCAAAACTTCCTCCCCAAAAGAGACAACAGCCAAATGAGAAATATCGTGGCTTTTAATGTCCAACGAATTCCTTAGGTCAGACAACCCACTTGGCAGCTGAGAGAGAGAAAGAATAAAAGGACAAAACAGTTTGTTATCCAGCTGGAAACAAGGATGACTAGTCATCTGAGAAACGGATGACTAGTCATCATTTTATGAAGACTGTTTAATGTAATGATATGCAATGCTCAATACCTTTGTCAAATTGCTTGAGCCACCATAGAGCAGAGATTAGAGAAGAGCACCAATAAAAGTTTTCCCTAATCTAGACTTGAGCTTGATAAATTACATTACACATCCTATTACAAAGTTGTCAAGGGAAGCCAAAAGAAAATAGTAAAAACCATACATTAACACGCGTCCAACACCATGTATCAATGAACCAAAAGCATTTGCACTTTTTTTCCCTTCACTTTGGTTTTGTCCCATTGGGTTTTTCAAGCAATGTTTTTAATGAGGCAACTATGTCATTGATGGTGGACATCCAAATGGGAGTGTTGTAAATCACTTCTCTCAATATTAGAATATCACTTCTCTCAACATTTTCTTCCTTAATTTTATAACAAAATCTATTTGTTTGGCAACTATATTTGCACGCATGGATTTGAATTAAGAAGGGGCTTTACCATATAATGACAAATAAGAAGGCACAAAGACGAAATGGTCCAGCGCCTCCAAAATTGAACAAATTGGTCCAGTCACTATTTGACAGTAGCATGAAATAACTCTTATATCACTCACTGAGAGTGACATTGAACAACTCTCGTGTCACTGTCCGATAGTGACGTAGGAGTTATTTTATGTTACTGTCGAACAGTAACTGGACTGGTTTATCCAATTTTGGAGGCCCTAGACTATTTTAACATTTTGTTTTTTATAATTGACTTTTTAATCGTTTTATGAATTAAGAATTCCAAATAAAAAATTAAAGTATATTCAATTAAATAAATTTTCTTTAAATAAAAATTCCAACAATTTAAGAGCATCTCCACTCGAGCTGTCAAAAGCCAGTTGGAGTGTTGAACGGCTAGAAAAGGTGGCTGACTCCTTTCCACCCGAAGTGCTATATCCGACTTGTAAATAACATCTTGTGAACCAGCGGCAATTTTGACAGCAAGAAACAAAGACGTTATTTCAATTATCGAGAGTTTTTTAATGAATGGGCCCCACCTGATGTGCATAAATGTGACGTATGCTTTTCTCTTATCATATTTTCTTTGTTTTTCATTTATTCTTTAATAAAATAATAATTTTATTTAACAGTTCGGGGGGAATAAGAAGTTGTCCATAATGTTAAATTGCCACATAGGCCGTCAAATTCAAATTTAATGTTTTTTATTTGACATTTCCCTTGGAGATGCTCTAAATAAGTCATAACAAACTGCCATTTTTATCTTCCAACGTAGTAAACCCAGTGACATCGCAAGAGACGCACACAAGTCACACCACCACCAAATTTGGCAATGCGCAAGAATGACATGACATTAATTCACTTCCTTCAATTTTCTCTTCTTTTGATTCCACCTAACTTCTCAATCGATCTGATCCCAAATTCAAAGCTCTCATTCATTTTCATTTCCCTTCTCGAGACCATTGAAACAGCACCAAGTCGCATGCTCCTCTCCATTAATTACTACAACTATTTATTAATTACCCTCAACTGTCCCCTACCTTCGCACCTCTTCATCCCTCCCCTACATAAACCATGCACAAACCCCTCAGGTTTCGTTCAAAGAGAGCAACACCAAGTGTGTGTGTGTGTGAGTGTGTGTGAGTGAGAGAGAGAGAGAGAGAGAGAGTGATCAAAGATGGAGATGTGGCGTGTCGTTTTGGTGCTTGCTTTGTCATCAGCACTATTGCATGCAAGCAGTGCACGTAAGGTTCCCGGAGATGACCATGTTAGCCATAATGAGCAAACCGTGGTTGTGCATGCAAGTGCACCAACGGCAGAGTCACCTACTGGCCTTGGTGACAAGAAGAACTTCATATATGGAGGCGTTGGTGGGTTTGCTGGAATGGGAGGATGGGCCGGAGTTGGCGGTGTGATGCCTATTCTTGGTGGAATTGGTGGTGGGATTGGCAAAGCTGGTGGAATTGGAGGTGTTGGGGGAGTAGGAGGTATTGGAGGTGTTGGTGGTGGTGCTGGCGGTCTCGGCGGTCTTGGGGGTTTAGGTGGTGGTGCTGGTCACGGAGGTCTTGGGGGGTTAGGTGGCGGTACCGGTGGAGTTGGCGGTATTGGCGGCTTAGGTGGTGCTGGTGGAGCTGGCGGTTTAGGTGGTGTGGGTGGTGTAGGTGGTGCTGCTGGCGGTGGAGCTGGTGGCATTCTTCCATGTCCTTGATCACTTTTTTTTCTAAATATTTCATTGCTTTGCATGCATGGCTAGCTGTCTGATTAGTAGAACGGTCTTTTGTTAATTAGGCCTATTAGGGGTTTGTCCTTGTCTTTTCGATTTTATTATTATCGGTATCTCTAGTTGTAATTGTTGGGTTGTCTCTTTGAGGCATCCAATGGTTGGTTTGTATCTGTTTCCATTGTTTTCTAATTATGTTTGAATTGAATGGAGTTAGCCTTCATTGTCTTTGAAATTATTAGCCATGATGAATTGATTTATTAAGTTAATCCCCTACATGCAAAGCACTATATATCTCTTGAAACAATATAATTTTGATTGTTATCAAGCATAATATTATCAGCACAAAAACAATGTTTCGTTAAACTTCAAACATGATAAAACTTTATGATTTTCTTACTGCGAGTTATATGGCAATCGACTATCATCGGGTGTGTGTTGAATTATAGTTTAGGTCTTTAGTGTGTTATCGAGTAGTTTTAGGTTTAAGCTTTCTTTGATGGTGCATAAGTTCAAACTTCCTTTCATGGGACTCGTATGCGTGAATTTCCCTCATTCTCTTCCTAATTTGGAAGAAAAAAAGCCAATTAACTATCATGAAAGAAAGAATGAAATTTGAAATATATAAAAGTCCATAGTTATGTGATCGATACTAAACTTCCGTTTTGCATGGTGAACATCTGTACGGCTTGTTCTTGTGCCCGCGACAGTGTGTGTTTGTTCTTAAATTAATAATGTCAGGCCAGTTCATACCTGACATATAGTAAATTGGCTGACCTTATTATTAATGATAAAAAAATATATATATCACAATGTCAGATATATATATGAAATAATAAACATAAGAGTCACCATGTCTAGCAAATCAATTCACAAAATACATCTGAAAATTCAAAAGCTTTATTTTGGGCTAATGCATCCTAGAAACATGCCACATTTCTGAATTGAATTACAAGCTTTTGT